CTGTCGCATAGAGTAAACAAAATTTGAGAAAAAGTTCTCGGGAGGATTCTATGCGACCGCATAGAGTTTATACTATGCGACCGTATAGGTATACATTCTTTCCGTCGGACAGCTTTTAGTATTTTGGTCATAACTTTCTCGTCTGATCTCCAATTGAAGTGATTCAAAGTGCATTGAGAAGAAGACTCAAAGATCTACATTTTTGATAGAAATATACTTCCTCAAATTCTGATGTTTACTATGCGAAAAATAGATCTCAAGTAGATACTAAAAATCACGAGCATAGTTTTTTCGCCTGAAAGTTGATACTTGATAATACTTCGACCCTATTTCACCTCGTGACTCCTTTCCTCATCCGATTGACTTCTAACACTCTTGAATCTTCATTCCATTTCCCGTCTCATCTGTGAATTATTTGCACCTTGGTCCCCGAACTTTCAGTTTAATTCATTTTAGTCCTTTTTCGGCTCCCTTCACATGAATTCCACTATTTCCATAGAAACACCTACATTGCATGAATTCAATGAGATTAAGTCACAATTCAATCATTTTGCTTGTATTTAAGTCATGTTTGTAATCTAAATAAGTGTGCAAAAACACACTTATCAACATGTCATGAAGAAGCTGGTGATTTACATCTTTAGTTGATATTGAGATGTTTACACTTTCTTTAAATTCAATTCCTATGAATATTGTGTGGATCTATTTTACGAACACTCATTATGAATAAATTATGTTTAAAAGTAGATATGCATCATAGGAATAAATTTACAAATCACCATATAAAAAAAAAAAAGTTACCGACTTAAAGTTTTGATGTCTCTTTAGAAATTTCAATTTCTGCCTCATCTTTAAAAAAATCATAACTCTTTCGTTACTTGGTATTTTTGTACGAAACCAATTGGATTGGATAGTTTAATAAGTTAGATACTGAATAAAATTGGAATCATGTCAATTCAATATCGGTAAAAGGTTATATGTCACATAAAGTAAACTGTGCTGGGTGCTGTCTCTGTTTTTCAGCTTGTACCATTGTTTTCAAAAATTCATAACTCGCTCGTTACTTGGAATTTTTGGATGAAACCAATTGGATTTGATAGTCTCATGGATTAGCTACTGAATAAATTTTAAATCATGTGGTTTTGACGTCGGTGAAATTTTATATGCCATTTTAAGTGAACTGCACCGGTTTACCTTTCAACCGGATCGCTGCTGAGTTTTGAAAAATATTTTAATACCCCATATGATGTCGAGGAAAGCTAGTTTTTGACTCTGTCATATTATAAGGAGTTTACTATCTTACATTAAAATTTGATGAAGTTTCAAAGTCGATGGCTATGAAAACAAATTTATTTTGACAATTACTGTTTGAGACAAGAAATTGGAACAGCAACATTACTTTTTAAGTTTTGCCAAAATTTCACGTCAATAGTCGTTACATGCATGGAACCCATTCTAAAAATATTTTTTTGAAATTATTTTCTTTTAGAATTGAATTATTGTTTAAATAAATAAAAAGAAAATTCTTTAATTAAATTCTAAAATTTAATCTTTATACTTTCTACTAAAAATATATTGAACTAACTTTACGGCTAAGGTACAATGGTTTGAGTGACATTTCCGTCCATGTGGGTCGGGGCGTCACATATATTGTCGTTTCACAAAGTGATTTAAATGAGTGATTCACATTGATTAATCCGAACCAATCGAGGGAATTCCTGCGCTTCAATATTTCAAAAATTGATTCAAATTTCGTTACTTCAATCATTGATAATTACATTTCATTCAAACTGATAAATTCCTAAACAAAGCACGAAAAAAACTCTAAGCTTTTGATCCTTTAACAAATTTCGCATCTCCCTGTGGATACGTACCGCGTTATACTTTGGGCATAATCAAGAATCTATTTTGTCTATAACCAATCTTAACGGGCTTATGATCAACGTTTAAAGATTGCTGACCCATAAATCTTTGAGGGTTGATTTAACTGAATTTTATGTCAGTTGTAGAAACTATTCAACATTTGTGTAAAAAATAAAGTAATGCTCTCTCTTTGATTTTCTTTGTTATGTTTTACCTTAAAATTGTGTATGTATACTGCAGTGGCGACATCAGAGACAACCAGTAATACCACGTTGTTAACAGGAAGCAGCAATGTTTCTGGGAACAGTCAATTCTCAGCTGCAAGTGGAGGGGACGGGGATAGTCCATCGGGACAAATATTACCTCTCCCCAATTTAAGAATGTTCTCCTTTTCCGAGCTGAAGACAGCAACAAGAAATTTTAGAAGTGATACGGTGTTGGGAGAAGGTGGCTTTGGAAAGGTCTATAAAGGTTGGCTCGATGAGAAAGGGACGACGAAAGGTGGAACTGCAAACGTAATTGCAGTTAAGAAGTTGAATGCCGAAAGCTCTCAAGGATTTCAAGAGTGGCAGGTAATTCACATTTGTGCTCTTTGTAATGCACCATTTCCTATCAATCATCAATTTTTCTTGGTGAAAATAAAGTGCTTTAAGTACTATCTTACTATTCGATATTCAATGTTTAGACTTCAACTTATGTTTTTTGATATTCCATTTATTTTGATGAATGGCAGATTCAGAATGAATCTTTCGTACTTTACTGTTCATATATCAATTCATTTCGAATAGTTAACTTGAATTATTTTTGAAGTTGTTCTGCATTTTTCTTCATTTCTCTCTCTACAGTCTGAGGTAAATTTCCTTGGAAGGCTTTCTCATCCAAATCTGGTTAAGCTGTTGGGATACTGCTGGGAGGATAAAGAGCTGTTGCTTATTTACGAGTCCATGCAAAAGGGAAGCTTAGACCACCTTTTCAGAAGTACGGGTGTATAATATTTGTAGTATCTCATATTACGTAGATTAGCGAATGGCCATATTCATTTTTCATTTAAGCATTGCGTTTCAGGGGGTTCAGCTATTCTGCCTCTTCCATGGGACACAAGGCTTAAGATTTTAATTGGAGCAGCAAAGGGACTCGCGTTTTTGCATGCATCGGATAGAAAAGTTATTTATAGAGACTTCAAGGCCGGGTAGGTTTTGTACAGACGATTTACTACCAATTAAGAGTTGTTCTGCCAAAAGAGTGACCGCTTTACACTTTTGAGGACTGGATAAATCTTGATGGGCACAGTTGTGATTGCAATAAATTCACTTTACTGATAATTTCTTTTATTTAACAGAAGATTTATTAGTTAGAAGAATCTTTTTATTTTTTCTTATTGATTAAATTTTGCTCTCAGTCATACAATGCCAATGTTGGGGATCCTAGGAGTTCAAACAACCAAAACAACAATCAACAAACAAGATTCAAGGCAAAAAACAAGAAAATAAACCG